TGAACTTTTTGCCTTTGTCTCATTGAACCAATGAATAATTTTGTTTGCTAAACGAGAAAGCTGGCACTTATGTTTCAACACATATATAAACTTATAAAATGCAGAACTACTTGGTACCGCTTTAAAGTTGGATATATTATCACCAAGAGCAGATTTACCAATTGCTTCACAAAGCATCTGCTTGTGAATCAATTGACAGGCATTATTCTTTACATGCAAAGGGTCAGCATGGGCCCTATCAATGAGCCTGCCAATTGGTGGGTCAAACTCTTGCCTACTCTTACATCCTGCAATAAACGCTGTGACTTTGCTACGTGCAGTCTGCTCTGTTACTGGCTTTTTGGTCAACTTTGTTTTGAAAACGCGAACTTTGTTAGCTATAGATAATTGTTGCTTATAATCCCACGGTTTCCATGCATTTGTGGCGGCTGGGCCAAAGGTTTTACTTACATCATGAACACCATCATTGCAAACATTGCCAAAAGTTGAAAAGTACTTTGCACTATTTGGGAGCTCCCCTGCTAGATATGCCAACATTTTCATGTCATTGGGAAGCTCTGCAAATTTAAACTTGATCACCATATTATTAATGTTAAATGAAGCCTTTTCAATGTCCTCAATCTCTTTAGTTATCATTGAAATATACTTGGCAACTGCTGGGCTTGTTTCACTACAATTGCTACCAAAGATAAGGAAATTTTCCTCGCTGCTTAAAATCTTATGACCGATGTTGAGAAAGCTAACTAACCAAGCACAAGACTGGTCAAATTTCCCAAATGGGGCCCCATCCCCACCAATAGCAACCTGAAAGGTATAAGGCTCATTAAACCAATCTATATCAGATGCAGGTAAGGCAGAAAGATAAAATAGTGCCAACCTTGGAAGAAACTCAATCAATTTCCTATAACAACCATCCACCTTTTCTCCACACTCTAAATCATCACACAAAGTATCGCGAACACTATACAGCATTCCTATTTCAATTTCATTGAGCATAGAAGCAAGCTTGTTGTAAGGAAGTAGTCTAGGCAGTGGGTTTGACAGAACTTTAATACGAGTGGTTTTACTTTTTCCATTTGGGTTTCTCATCATGGACAAACATCTATAGGTTGATCTATATTTTCTCTTGCCCATCACTCCTTTACTGTAATAAACTGCAATACTTAGGAGTTTATTTGCTTCTGATTGTTCAAAGTTATCTGAAGCAGTTTTAAATATCACAGAAAATACATTATTTTTAAATTTCTTACTAGTCGACATAAACTTGACAAGAACTTCCTGTGAGCACTTCTTTTCCACTGTATCCAAAAGACCAACTAAAGTAGGTAAGGGATTTTCGGAGGTTGCCCCATAGATTTCTGAAGCAGCATCAAATGTTTCTGTTCTTTGTCTTGCCATTGCCTGTGCAGATAACCCTGGTTTATCATTAGAACTTAGAACAGTTGGATTAGCGCATCTTGCCTTTGCATTTTTTTCAGAAAGGAATGTCGTTTTCTTCTTTTTGGCAGGTGGAGTGAGCAATTCAGGTTGGGGGTCTCCGCTGACTATTTGTGTTTCTTCTGAGACCTCCTCAATCTGCAGGAAATGTAAAGTAATATTGTAATATATGATGTACATGATGTAATGGTGACAGGTGATTTTACTCGTCATGAGGAGAGTCTTGCAACTTAATGGGTCAATTTACCAATCTGCAAATTTCTCCTTGTAAACCCCATTGAGTACTGATGTCTCTAATGCACCTGTCATGACCCTTCTACTCTGTCTAATACAAGACAACATGCCAAGGGGAGTCATGCACCTTAATGGCTTAATTCCTGGTGGGTTATTCAATCTTAAAGTGCCTATATCACTTGTGGGATCTTTACGGATTTGGAAAGAGCACAAAAAGTTAGTTACTAAGTTCTTCAACCTTTTTTGATTTAGTTCAATAGTTTCCGAGACATAGGCCCTCAAACATGGCAATTTTCAAAAAAATCCGTCGTCTTGGGGGACTGGGACTCAGGAACCGGTCGTTCGTCAAGTATTATAAAATCAATTACATTTTTGCATCGCGGCCGACAAAAACTCAATTATTTTGAAGATAAATCGCTATGTCTAGCTCAGAATCGTCCTCTACTGTTGATGAGGGCTCCTATGGTTGCCCTGAATATGAAATTGAAGATGAAGATTTTGAAACGACATCAAAAGATGGGTATGAGAGTGAGCCATCATATGCCGTCGAAGAGGAATTGCTAGACAACATGGACTCTTTAGCATACACTGACGAGCCCCTTGCAGACGAATCATGGGTCGAAGAATATGAAAGAAGACAAGATGAATATACCAGGGAAATAGAAGAATTAAATCTTCGACTAAACGGACAAAACCCCGTGAATTCTTGGTAAGATAATCAATATCTTTGGCCGCCATATTGCCATGGTCTGATGGAATATATATGTTTACATAAACTATATTGTATTAATACTGAAATCACAACAGCTAAACCATATTTTTTTCTAGGTGCAATTGTGGTTTCTGTAATACAGATAATTTAGTAGATGCAAAGGAGTGTCGCTGTTGCACTGAAATACCAAAGTGTGTTGATGCATTGACTCTTGTGAATAGCCAACAAATGTGTATCACAAACCATCCAGGATTTGACGCGATTTGTCTAAACAGGTGGGCTATGGAGCTTGCAACCGAGAATTTTAAAACACGCGGTGGTCAGAAATATAGACAAGTTGACTCGAAGGAAAGGTCAGTTCTTATTTCTGACTCATGTGTTATTTAAGCCCCATTTACACAAGCAAATTTTATTTGACAAATTTAATATGACAAATGCATTTGATCAAAAGCTAGCATGCTTGCTTTTGTTCAAATGCATTTTCACAATAAATTTGTCACAAATGTATCATCTACACGAGCAAAATATCTTTGATATATAAAATTTGTCAAATAAAATTTGCTTGTGTAAATGGGGCTTTAGGGCCTGTTTATATGGAAGCCGGGCTGGCCCGCTTATGGATTTCTCTTGTTTATATGAGAAAATTTCATCCGCTTGCCGAGACAATTTTGTTACATTGTATTGTTTTGACAGTTGCTAAAAATAGCTTGCGGCAGTATCTTTGAACTTTCATCCTGGCAACCGGGCTAGCCTGCTTGTGAGTGTTTATATGGAGAAATTTCCATCCCGGCAACCGAGATCTCGCTTCTTTCAAGCGATATCTCAGCAACCGAGCCAGCCTGCTTGTCCATATAGACGCACGGTAATTTTTACTATAAAAATAACTACACAGCGAGATCTCGCTTACCGGACTGTCTCGCTTACCGGGCCAGCCCAGCTTCCATATAAACAGGCCCTTAATATACTAAACAACATCAGTTTAATGTAATATAAAATAGTTAATTAATACTCCGTGTTTTCAGGTTTCTTCGTGTGGTTGCATATAGACAATTTACCAGATTTGTCCATGGTTATTTGAAAGAAAAGAGAATACCATTGCCAGCATGTGCCTACCATGCTATCCGCACAGCTTTCAAAGAAAATAATGATGATTTTAGAGGGTATGAAGATCTGGAGGAACAGAACTAAATTGAATTATCTGAATGTACAGTATACTCATAAATCATATATTTGTATAATCATATATTTGATTTTTCTTTTCAATTTGTTCTACCCCAGCCTTGTACACAGGCACTTTAGAGAGAAAAAACATATAATCACGCTAAGCTACTGTACTACAGTATATAGAGATCAGGACGAGCACACAAATGATGTTTGGGGAGGAATCACAAAACCTAATGCAATCCCTCCCAATAACCCTAACCAATCATATTTTGTGACTGTGTGACATAAAAATGTAACCGGATGAAAGCTCAGCTTTGCCACTGATCTCTATATAGTAGCTAACAACTCAATTATTATATTTGTGGTGTTACTCTGAGTGTATATCCGCACCGGGCGAGCTTGAAAAATATGCCCGGCCAAGGTGGGATTCGAACCTACGACCTTTGGAATACTAGCCCTATGCTCTTCCAACTGAGCTACGCGGTCAGGACGGTTCGAGTAAGTGATATTTCGGAACA